TTTGACCAAGAAGGTTGCGAAACCTTGCGGCATATTCTTGGACGGTCGTGGTTTGCTTCAAGTCCCTTAATTGTCGATGCAGTAGTTGTTGGTGATGAGGCGGTTGGAATGCTGTTTTTATGCCTTCAGCAAATGAATTCCAACCTTCAAATGGTTGTTGATGTTCATAGGCTTGTACCTGATTTAGGTACCATTGTAAAGCCGCATCCTGAAATCCTGTAATTATGTATTGCAACCGTTCCGTATCTTCAACTTTTCTTGCTTTGAAAAGGAGGTCGACTTGGAGCAACCATGTAAGGATGTTTTCACCATCTTTGCTGCTGAAGTCTGGCAACTAGACAGTTAACCCTTTTGAACTATCATTCCAGCTCCAGGGATTCGATATTCAGCACCGGCTTGTCTTTCTTGCTATTGTTGTGCAGTGGCTGCAAAGTATTGATTTAACTGATGCTGACTTTGCAAAAATTGTTGAAAAAGTGTTGTAAAATCGGTGGGTGTTTCCTCCATTCCAAGGTCATCTTCTGCCATGGTTTTGAGATAGTATTGTTTATCAAAAGAAACTTCAATTGGTGTTGAAAACTTGTCTTGTTCAGGGAAGTATAACTTTTAACTTCGCTGTCTCGTTTTTTTTTTTTTTTTTTTTTTTTTTTTTTTTTTTTTTTTTTTTGTTTTTTTTTTTTTTTTTTTTTTTAATATATTTTGACTGATTGTTATTTCTTTCATTAAGACTTTCTTGAACTAATACAAGAGTTTTTAAACAGGCATTTGGGTGAAAATCTTTTTCGCTGCTACCAAGTGTAACTGAACCTATTGATCGTAGGCGTGGGTTAACCAGAACGGCAGTTTGATCGTTTGTGTGTATAAAGAATGTATCCCTTTTTTAATATATTTATGCGAACGTAACGTTTATTTATTTATTATTAAGAAAAAGCGTGCCTTTCTCTTACAGAATTTCTATTCCTTTATATTCAGTTTTATCCCTATTACTAATACGATTATTATTACTAATGCTAAATTAACTATGACTACATTTATTATGCATTCGCTACTAATTACTATCATAGACTTTCATATTACACATTTATCATGCGTATCACTATACTCGATTACCCTTCCCGATTCGAATGCGACTCCGACCCATCGAACCCAGCCACGTGACGACATTCGCAGCACAGATCATAAGGTTTATAATCCCCACTTTCTATTCGCTCGTTCGTCAGGTCACATTCCACATGACTTGTACCACCCCGATTGATGTAATCTACATCTAAACCCTTACATAAACTCTCTGGTCACAACTACTATTTGTTATACCTAACCCTAGGTATTATTCACCATACAAATATGGTTTTTGTATCTATCTAATTGGATTTTGCATTCATCTTAAAACTTACTAACCATTGGCTAATTTATCTATAAGGTAAATCTAACAGAATAGACCATGTTTTACACATGTTTTTACCTGCATATTTAGTAACTTCTTCCTAACTAGTACTTGCTATACTACTATACTATATTCATATCTTATACCATTTTTTAAAATACTGCTATTTTATAGCTACTTAAGCCATAACCTTTTTAATGAGTCACTCATTATGCATTTCTTGCCCTTGTAAGGTTTACATGACCCTAGTATCCACATTTAGACTTTCTTTCTTTCTTGGATTCTTTACTAGTCTCTCACTTACTTAGGGTTGGTCTGCCCAGGCTTTAGATATTTTACGGTCTTTCTTCTCTTGATACATGTTTCCAGAGCACATGTTCTTTTTATCTGGTTGGCAACCCGGCAGTTTGACTAGTGTGTTCCTCTATTTAAGAAACTGGTCGCTTGGTTTTCTAGTCTTAGTTTCTAATTTCAAATTTAGTCTTTTTGTAACACCATCAAAGATCATACTACCTCTTTACTTGAAACTTGCCAAACAGGTTTTTGGTAATTCTGGTTTCCTGGATTTATTGTACTAAAGCTCATATTCAAGATAGTATAACCAAGATTACAAATATCTGGATTCAACTGATAATCTTAATGTTAACCAATATGGAATTCAAACTCTAGACCTGCCATCTCGGGTACGACAACTTCACCACTTTACTAAGTTGCTACACTCTTCTATCCCAAATAATTATATAAACTTACTATATAAAATTTGTATAATAAATAATAAAGAAACTAAGAAAAAAAGGTGTAGCGACTTAGTAAAGTGGTGGAGTTGTCACACCTCCAAACAGCAGGTCTAGAGTTCGAATCCCACAGATGACAATTTTGAA